CTTTTTTCTTTTTTACTTATGTGGTGCTGAGGAATCGAACCCAGGGCCTCATGCATGCAAGGCAAGCACTCTACCACTGAGCCACCTTCCCAGCCATCCCTGACTTTTTTAATAGAGACATTTTTGTCCCTTCCTCGTGGAATGTGTATGTGTGTTCTTTCTTTTCTTGAGGGAGCAAATAATGCAAGAATTGCAGGACATCACCGTAGATCATCATATCCACCATGGCTTTTTTTGTTGTTGTTGTTGTTGGTTGTGGAGCTTGAACTCAGGGCCTGGGCACTGTCCCTCAGCTCTTCAGCTCAAGGTGAGCGCTCTACCACTTGAGCCACAGCACCACTTCTGATTTTCTGGTGGTTCATTGGAGATAAGAGTCTCACAGACTTTTCCTGCCTGGGCTGGCTTTGAACCTCAGATCTCAGCCTCCTGAGTAGCTAGGATGACAGGCGTGAGCCAGCTTTTTTGTACTGAACCAAGCCAGATAGGCTTAGCTTTTTCGCTCAAGGCTGGTGCTCTACCACTAGTGTTTTTCTGATTAATTGGGGATAAGCGACTCATTGACTTTTCTGCCTGGGCTGGCTTTGAACCATGATCCTTATTTCTCAGCCTCCTGAATGGCTGGGATTACAGATGTGAGCTGCTGGCACCTGACTAATCAATTATGTGAATTTCTTTTTCCTTTTTCTTTTGGCCAGTCCTGGGGCTTGAACTCAGGACCTGTCACTCTCCCTGAGCTTCTTTTGCTCAAGGCTAGCGCTCTACCACTTGAGCCACAGCACCACTTCCAGCTTTTTCTATGTATGTGGTACTGAGGAATGGAACCCAGGGCTTCATGCATGCTAGGCGAGCACTCTACCACTGAGCCACATTCACAACCCAAGTAGGTGTATTTCTAAGGATTAGTCAGTGACTCTCCCAATAGAGACAAAGGCACAGGAAACATGGAATGGAGGCCCTGAGCCATAGCCTATGGCTGGTGAGGAAGAGAACATAGATTCCTGTGCCAGCCAGGGGCTAACTACTCAGAAGGCTGATTGTGAGAACTGCGGTTCGAAGCCAGCCTGGGCAGAAAAGGCTGTGAGACTGTCATCTCCAAAAAACTACTCAGAAAAAGCTGGAAGTGGCACTGTGGCTCATGCGGTAGAGCGCTAGCCTTGAGCACAAAGAGGTTTAGGGACAGTGCTTGGGCTCTGAGTTGAAGACCACTCCCCCCCAAAAAAGTTTCTGTGCTAGCCATGTCTGTAATTCCAGAAACTTTGCCTCACTTTTTTCCAGGGCTGTTCTCCAGCCCTCAATCCTCCTCTAGCTCTACCTCCGGAGTAGCTAGGATTACAGGCATGTGTCACCACACCCAGCCCACCAAAATCATACGGTTTTAGTCTCAAGGGGGAACCTCTCTGCTTCTCAGTACCCCTCCCCACTCTTTCCCATACGCAATTCCTTCTTTCTGCAGAAGGTGTGTGGAGGGGGTTAGGGGGTTCCTCACGAGGAGACAAGCAGTCAAGACACACCAGCCATGCAGAATGGATAGTGAAGCCCTTTGCTTGGTTCAACTACCCAGAAGAGGTGGGGGAGAGGAAGGATGCTGTTCTTTTCCACCCGGTGTGTTTGCATCTCCTGGCTCTGCATCAAAGCCAGAGTGAACGAAACGTCCCTCCTCCTGGCAGAAACGGGTCTGCTTTGATTATCCAAAAGCTCAGATGAGGGTACTAAGGCCCAGAACCCAGTTCTCTAGGCTGCATGATGTGACTCATCTCTGCGGGGACTGCTTGCATTGTCTGCCTTTATTGGATGTCTTGGGCCTGGTAATAAATTCAGAGGATTCCATACGCAGGAAGGATGTGGTGAAATGAACTCGGAGGTGAGAAAATCGGGTGTGTGTGTGTGTGTGTGTGTGTGTGGGAACACGGTCAAGGGCAACGAAGTTTTATTGGTCTGTATGTGTCTGCCTTGAGAACTAAGAGCAGCTGCAACCTTCAAAGGGGCGAGCTTCTTTCTCTCTTTCCTTCTTCAACCAGCATCATCTACATTTACCTAACTGTAGGCCGGCAAGTGGCTATGACATCAACACCATAAGGCGTGGCCACAGGCCCTGAAGTCACGTGGTTCTCACATTCTCTCTCTCTCTCTCTCTCACACACACACACACACAAATAGATGAAACAGTAAAGGGCAAAGAAAACTAGGTAGGAGTGTTCTTTTTATTTCTCTTTGGTTTCTTAACACAAAGGACATGCGTTCTATAAATAAAGGATTTTTTTTTCCTGTGAAACAATACATTTTGTGGGGTGGCAGGTATGTGTGTAATTTCTTTTTAAAGTCACATCTCTGTGGTCAGAAGGCCAGTCTCTAGCTCTAATGTGGGCACCATCTCAGGTAACACCCCAAAAAGAAGGTACTACGAGTCATTTGAGGTGAAACACTCCAGGGTAGTGAGCCCCAGTTCTCTGCTCTCAGTGGGCTTGGACGCTAAGGCCTGCCAATCACTAGGTCTGTGGCCTTTCCAGGTTATCCTTTGGCGATGCTTCTTCTCATCACCATCCTAAAGAGCTACATCAGCCATTTTGCCTCAGACTGGGGAGACAGACTGGTTTGGGTGAGTGTGAAAATATCTGGTGTTTGCTCAAGGGTGCTGGTGGCCCAGATCAAAACCCAGGCTCCATCTCACCAGGAAGCCCTGATTTCAGATGTGGGGCTGTTTCTCACCGAGGAGATGGTGGTGGATTGGGCAAGTCATCTTGAGAAATGTGTGTGTGGGGGGAGGAGTCTAGGCACTGTCCTGAGTGTTTTTTTTTTTTTCACTCAAGGATGGTGCTCTACTACTTGAGCCACAACCTACACTTCTGGCTTTTTGCCAGTTTATTAGAAAGAAGAGTCCCATGGTTTTTCCTGCCTGGGCTGGCTTTGAACCGAGATCCTCAGATCTCAGCCTCCTGAATAGCCGGGATGACAGGTGTCGGTCACTGGCTTGACTTGATCTGGGTTCATCAGTGCTGCTTTTATTTCCAGGAGAGGGGCTCATGATAGTAAGATGAGCACTAGTAATGCTCCTTTGAACAGGAGACAAAAACCTGACATGTTCCTTCTGAGTCTACCTCTGCAGGCAAACTGAGGGAGTAAGAAAAATTGATGCTCTAGCTAGAGTTCAGGGAAAACTCTTATCAGTTATCAGACTATTGACTCTTTTAAATAAATCAAAACATTTTCAAGTGCTTATAACAGAGGCCCAACTCCTAACTTCTACCAATCATCTCCCCCCGCCACCAACTATAGCAACAGACTTCCTAGGCTTCCCCCCTTGGCCCCCCTGAATTCATGGCGATCACACACACTGGAAAACCTGACACTTTACTGGGGGTAGGGCAATACACCAGATTTCACATTGTACCTTCCCCCCCACACACACTTTTTTTTGGCCTGAGACCAGTACTTCAACGCAGTACATGATGCTTTTGCTCACTGGCTAGTGCTCTAGGAACCAAGCCATGCCTCCAACCCCACACTGTGCCTTTCTGAGCAAGCTTCCAGGCTGCTCCAAGGCAGGTGGCCAAGAACAAGAAACCAATCGGGTGGAGAACGGGACCCTAAGACCCAGTCTTGGGCTAAAAAGAACTGTCTCCTCTTCTAGTCTCTAGCTGGAAGAACTGTAGAAATACAGAGTTTGGCAGTAGCAGTGGAAAGGGTAGCTCCCTCGGCCAAGTGTGCTGGTAACAGAAAATGTCCTCTTGTGCTACACTGAGATCCCATCTGGGGAGGTGGTGGTGGTGATGAGGAGGAACAGATGGAGGGTGAGGAGTCTCTTCACGAGGTCATCTGCCAAGATGACACAAAAAGAATTTGCAGCAGCGAGTTTCAGACTTCATTCTTTAGGTCAGAGAACCAGCCAGCTTTGCTCGAATGTAAAGCTCCCATCTTTTTTATCCTTTTCTTTTTGTGCCAGTCCTAGGGCTTGAATGCTCTTCTGCTCAAGGTTAGCAATCTACCACTTGAACCACAGCTCCACTTCTGGCTTTTTTTGTGGTCACTTGGAGACAAGAGCCTCTCCAACTTTTCCTGCCCAGGCTGGCTTTGAACCTCGGATCGCAGCCTCTCCGGTAGCCAGGATGGCAGGTGTGAGTTAGTGGAGCCTGGTTAAAGCTCCGTCTTGCTGGTCAGTCTGCCAAGGGCTGGAGAGGAGTTGGGCCCCTGGGATGGGTGAGTGGATGGATGGAAGAGCAGCGCAATGGCGGGACAGACAAGGTTACCATACCAAGCTAGCCCCTGGCTGGTTTAAGTTCTGGAGGTACAAAACTGCCCATGTGCTCCAGAAATGTCACAATGGGGACATCTATCTAAGGACGAGGAAGGGCCCAAGAGGGAACTTGGGGGCAGGTAGAGGCTGTTTTCCTGCCGGTCAAAAAGGAATGTACGTGAGGAGGGGCGGGGGGGGGGGGGAAGGTGTTTAACCATAAGGTTGTTCAGGACCTTCTGCACGACCTGGGAAGATCGGCAAGAATTCAGAAGCCGATGGTGACAGAAGAGTCCTCCTAGGATGGGTGTGGAGGGAAACGGGTTAAAAGGGAGCACCTTGCTGCAGGACCGGCTGGGGGGGGGGGGGGGGGGAGAGAAAGGGCCGACTCCAGATGTGCCGGGGCTCGGAGGGAAAACCAAAAACAAAGAAAAACAACAACCACAAATCAACCCAGTGGCCCTGTGAGGCCTGGGGACCCCCCGGGGATCCAAAGGTGGGGCCTGGCTCCTTCCGCGCGGACTTGCCTTTGAGGGTCTTTTATGTTATCTTCGTGTTAATTAAGACAAAAAATAAAAATAAAACACAATGATGTTCGTTTCCAAAGACAGGTCTTGGTAGTTGCCGTTTCTTTCGAGCGTTTCCGTTTCCTCCCGTCCCTTCGGTTGCTTCTGGGCAGGGGAGGGGGGGGGCAGCGACGCGGTCGCGGGGTTAGACGCGGGGAAGGACTTCCTCGGTCCTCCTTCGCTTACCTGGACCCCAGGATTAAACGCAAAAACAGAAAAAACAGAACGGAACACCCCCCTCCGCGTACCTCGCGCGCGGCCGCCGTGAGCACGGGCCGCGGGGCCGTCCTCT